TTCAGGAGTGAGAATTTTGTCGTTTCCCACAGACGGCGCCAAACTGATGATGCACAAAAATGATTTTGCACACCACCGTCAAGTATAGATAATAAATGCAATGAAATCAACGAAAAAATTAGAGAAGACACAATCTATAGTAGTTCGGTCAATTCGACCTACGTCCACTCTTCAATGGCTTCAGTCGCCGGGTATTTTATTGATTCAAAGGTTTGGAGAATGGAGATACAAGCTTTGAGAGGGAGAATGGAGAATCAAAGAAAATAGTAATCTTCGGAAGTCGATTCGTCTTCGGTAAGTCTTTGATGGAGCATGTCCCCTTCTCTCCCAGATTAGAGTCATTTTATAGTAGTTAAGAGATCATTCTTGTGGAGATCATGACATATCCTCAAGGCTTCTTTATCGCAGTTTAGAGGTTATCTTTGGTGGAGAGCACGACTTATCCTCTACGGAAGGAAGAGGTTGGGGAGCTCTTCTTGAAACGTGGTCAATGATTGGACCGTTTCCTTCCTTCGGTGGTGCGGATAAGCTTCCCGTGCTCTCCTCTTGGTGACGTGCTAAGCAAGAAGTCTAACCGACCTTGGGCTCCTTAAGGCGGTGCAGATAAACTTCCCGTGCTCTCCTCTTGGTGACGTGCTAAGCAAGAAGTCTAATCGATCTTGGGCTCCTTAAGGCGGTGCAGATAAACTTCCCGTGCTCTCCTCTTGGTGACGTGCTAAGCAAGAAGTCTAACCGGCCTTGGGCTCCTTTGGCTTGGTGGATTCACGATGAGGTTGGGCTCCTCAACCGGGGTTGGGCTTTAATACATAAATTGGACTACTTGGGCTTAACCCATCACATGTAATTAAGATTAGAGAAATGGGATCAAGTTCGGAAAAAAAGAAAGATAAAAATTAATTTAATAAAAAAGTACTAAAAAATTTTACTTTATTCTTAAGGCCTCAAAATTATGGACCGACAAAGTTTTTTTTTTATCTCGAAAAAGATTGCTCCTTCTGTTTTTTTTTTTTGTTCAATGGTCAATGATGTCTTGACTAATTTATGCGTACTTCGATTAATTTTTTTCTCAGTCCAGTTAAAGACAGATCATCCATGTTGAGACTAGTGCATTCATGAACGATAATTTTCTTATAACTTGACCCCAAAAAATTATCAAATTTTAAACTCATGTCAGAATTTACAGTTCGTCTTTATTACCAATTGAACTATACATTGGGATTACAAAAATCGTTCTTTTCACAAAATAAGAGCAAAATCCCACTCCTTTTCTCTTAATTAAACTAAATAAGAATAGGTTGCCACTTGTCACCTTTGATGATAAAAACAATAACAACATTTTTTGGATAAATAATGTTATTTGAATATAATTTATCGTAATTATAAAATTAATAGTCAATTATTATAAATATTGACGTTCACTGTCAATCTAATGATAATGATTAATTAGGCCAACAATTCCTCTAAGATTTTAAATGAGAGTCCAAAGAGAATCTAACTGATTATGAATGGACCTAAATCATAACTCAATTTTTATTAATTGGGAGAGCAACATATTAGATCCCAAGTCATTCCATCAGAATTAAGGGTGTATATGTCAATTGAGACGAGCTATTAGGATTTGGGTCGGATAATATTTGGCTTGAGTTATTTTCTAAATGAACTGAACTTGAATAGTTTTGTAAGCTTGTTTAAAAAAATTAGCATTTAAGATTCGGCTCAAATTCGAAAAACTTGACTTGTTTATATGTAAAATAGTCGATCTACTTGAGTTCGGCTTGATTTTTAAACTAGCCGAATTTGAACAATTTTTTAAACTCGTTTAAAAAAACGAGCTCGTGTTTTAAATAAGCTGAACTTGAATAATTTTTTAGGTTCGACTTTACATTAAAAACTTGACTCGTTTATATATAAAATAATTGAACTACTTAGACTCGGCTCAATTTTTAAACAAAGCCAAGTTTGAATAATTTTTTAAACCATTTTAGTGAAACGAGCTTACCTTGATTAACACCCTAAATCAGAACGAACATACATGTGGTTAGGCATGTCAATCATGCAGGATGACGCGGATTTGTACCGGATTTTAGTAGATTCGTGTGTGATTGTGCTATTATAACAATAATTATAGAGGGCATCAACGTAAAATCAATCTTGAAGCATGGTTGGGCCCAAAACCAGAAAGAAAAATTTTGGTGGGTGGAAGTCACGGCCTTTCCCTCTCATTTTCCTCCTCTTCCCATTTTCCAGTTAAACCAAACAATGGAAAATCACCATTTCCAATTTTCCATTCAATTTGCACTGCCAATCTCCAGCCCTTGCTCTTTTTTAAACCAAAATTTAAATTTGGATAAAAAATTTCATAAAAACCTTTTCCAATGTTATATTCAATTTTTAACTCAAATTGAGAAATTCAAACATTTACTTAAATCACCAATAATTAGATTTCCTTTAAAGATCTAATGTTTATATTTTATCATTTTTTAAATTTAGATTTGTCTTCATTTAAATTTGAATTTATTCTCTTTTATTTTGAGTTTCTCCATTTGAGTGTTTTCTATTAAATTAAGCTTTTTACTTCAATATTGACCCAAATTTAGATAAAAATTTGAGTCAATGTTAGAGATGTTCTAAATGCACTTACTAAAACCCAATTGATCAATTGACTTTAGATTTATCTAACTTCCTAGGTTTTATGTTTTATTGATAGTGGTCCTTTATAGGCAAGTCTGGGAACCTAAAACCTCAATTGTTGGATCAATTGGTTGAGCCAGAACCATCTCATTAATTTGGGAAGTAGCATTTCTCCAATTCCACAACAATTGTCAATGTTTAATTGATACAGCTACTTTCCTTACTGAGTTTTAAAAGTACAACAATCCTATAACCGAGAGCTAGAAGATCATGGGCTTTTTCTTTACACCCTATTTGACTGAGGAAAGTGCATCTTTTCGGCCATTATGGTACCATAATGACATTCTCAATCAAGAATGGGTTACGCATTCAACCATCGTGTCTTTTTATAAACAAGGGAACCTATTAATTAAATGGCCACCCGAAAAAAAAAGAACCCAAGAAAGGTATCGAAATGACTGAAGGGTCAGAAATAGTCAATGCGCCCTTAGTTGATCCATTGTTAGTAAGAGCAGAGCAAAGGAGTTCTGAAAGTAAATTATGGCTCATGCCCTCTCCTAAACTATTTGGTCATAAACCACTTGCTGTCACACCAAATGTTACATATTCAGCATATGATATTCCCCAGTTTCTTGAAGCTATTGGCTTCCACGAAGGAGTCCAGCCTTATAAATCTCGAATTTTGCCTTTGATGGAACATCTACTAACTCCCGAAGTGCCTATTACATGTATAATTGGGAGTCGCGTTAGGACGCCAGAGAGTTTGTTTTATGGGGAATGCGGGTTTGATAAGCTGCCGGAGATAGTGTGTAATTGTGCTATTTGGTCTTTCTTTTGAAATTTGTGCATATGAAATAATTTAATAAAAAAGTACTAAAAAATGTTACCTTATCCTTAAGGCCTCACAATTATGGACTGACAAAGTTTATTTTAATCTCGAAAAAGATTGCTCTTTCCCTTGTTTTTGGTTCAATGGTCAATGATGTTTAAATTAATTTATGTGTACTTCGATTAATTTTCTCCTCAGTTCAATTAAAGACAAGTCATCCATGTCGAGACTAGTATATTCATAAGATATAATTTTCTTATAACTTGACCCCAAAAAATTATCAAAATTCAAATTCAAGTCAGAATTTACAGTTCGTCACTATTACCAATTGAATTACACACTGGAATTAAAAAAATTATTCTTTTCACAAAATAAGAGCAAAATCCCACTCCTTTTCTCTTAATTAAAGTAAATAAGAATATGTTGCCACTTCTCCCCTTTGATGATAAAAGCAATAACAACATTTTGGATAAAAGAATCATATAAACATAAATATGTTAATTGAGATGAGCAATTCGGATTTGGGTCGGATAATATTTGGCTTGAGCTGAACTTGTGTTCCAAATGAGTTAAGTTTGAATAATTTTTTAAATTTATTTAAAAAAATGAGCATTTAAGGCTCGGCTCAAACTCAAAAAATTTAATTTGTTTATATGTAAAATAATCAAGCTATTCGGGTTTGACTTGATTTTTAAACTAGTCGAATTTGAACAATTATTTTAACTTGTTTAGAAAAACGAGTTTGGCAGACTCGAACTCAAGACTCGTCTCGATTTCTAAACAAGTCGAGTTTGAATAATTTTTTTAACTCGATTAGCGAAACGAGCTTGACAGTCTTGCAAAGCTAGACTTGATTAACACCGGAAACGAACATATATGTGATTAGACATGTCAATCATGTAGGATGAGGTGGATTTGTATCGAGTTTTAGTAGATTCGTGTCAAAAAATATTTCATTTATACCCAATTGTGTCATATCGAATTTGTGTCGTGTATAAATAGTGTATAATCGGTATATAAACTAGTCATATCGTGTATTTTTTTTATTAACTTCACCCATACTTGATTCGTCTATTAATCGTGTCACGTCAACTCGTTTACGAAATGAGTAGCTTAAAGAAGACACAAACTTTCTAAATTTGTATCGTGTTCGTATCGTGTTAACAAATTATGTCCTATTTTCACACCCTAATATGTAGTCCTTAATCACCTCTCTCTCTTTTTCACCCAAAAGATAAGAAAATAAAAAGGAAAGAAAGGAAGTAAGATAAGATTGTAGCAGTTCCTATTGTAATTCACAAACAATATCTAAACAATCCCTCTGACAACCAGGGAAGAAAAATGAAGAGAGGAGACGACGTCCTTACGTCTCAATGTTACACTTGATTTCATAAAGAAGACAACCCCATTCAAACAAAGAAATTGCCTGACCCACAAAAAAAAAAAAACCAAACAAACAAACAAAGAAATTGAGTGAAACATGAAGAAAAGCAAATTTCTCCTTCAAGAAAGTTCCCCAAAAATCCCTTAATTAAGGATATCAAAAGACAACACTTCTCTTTGTGACAGCATAGCTTCTGCTCCTTGGGTACTTCAATTCTGTCTTGAAATTAACATTGTCTTCTCCAAAAACACAGGGCTTGTCTTCATCAATTCTACCCATCCCAACACTGCAACTCCGAGGAACACCCCTTGACTCGATAATGTTTGGCTGACTCTTGTGTTGCTGCGTATGCAAATCCATGTTAACTGTATTCCCCAAACTCCTAGTAGATGCAATTCTCATGAGCTCTCTGAAATCTTCACTATCGTTAGACCTCGTCGAGCTAGAACTGAAGCTTCTTGGCATGGCTACCGGTTGGACCGGGCCTCCCATGATGTTGCCATAACCGACTTTGTCAGCACAATCTGTCATCCTTTTTACGTACATGTCCATGGCTTTGTTCAGAACCCTGATGGGTATTGTGATGAACCGCATGAACTTGTTTTGGTGGTGCGCTTTGGCTCTCATCTTGCTGTTGTTTCTTCTTTCTTTCTTTTCTTTTGTAGCAAACTCTTTTGGGAAGAAGAAAATGGAGAAAATGATATGTATTTATGTGTGTGTCTGTGTTTATGATGATTGTGAGAGAAGAATGTAAAAGCTTTGGAAGCTATATAAGAAGAAAGAGACTGTAGCAATATGTACAGGATGCTATCAAAGATTCAAAGGCGTGGTTTGAATTATGGGTTCTTGACTATTGAGGCTATTTATAGAATAAATTAACAACAATATGATTGAATTTGAGTAACAAGTATGAACAAAAGGCAGGTGCGTGTGGACTTCTTCAAAACACGCCAGTCGCCAGATAAGAAAATAGATAGTAGTATAAGGATAAGAAAGGCATGCACAGTCAGTTAAATGCAACCATGGTAGGCCAAAATTGAAATAAGGGGTATTATTATTCAAGACCTTGACTTTTTCCATGGCCATTCTCATCTCATTAATAATCCACTATTGGGATTTGGATTCACTCGACTTAATGTTTTCCAATTTCTCCATAGAGTTTTTGTTGTCAATTTGGCAACTATGGTCAAGTAAAGAAATTTATTAGTAAAAGATTATTACAATGTTTTTAATATTCAATTATATTACAATCATACACTTTAGAGGGCATAAGAAATATCGAAGTTGAGATTTTCTATTTATAAAAGGATAAACTTGACTGTCGAATCACTCTAAGAGTAAACATTCTTTAAACTTGTATGTTATAACGTAATTCGAGAATGTAAGAAATTATATGTTAATCATTTATATCAAGTCCGCAAGACTATATTTACAAAATTTGAACTTGAAGGCTCGAGTTATTAACTTATTATCACTTAAATGTTCATTCATCCCAACTACATATTGGTGATAAAGATTATGTTTTTGAACAAAGTTAGATTTGTCCAAAAATTAAAATAAAAGAGATTTGGCTAGTAGTTCGCTGGATAGAAATGCTGATGTTAAAATAAAAATAAAACTGTAAGGAGAGTGTCAAACAAATTGACCCCACTACAGACAATGGAAACTGCAAGAAATAATTACAGATTAAGACATTAACCGAATTAAATATATTAATAGGAAAATTTTAGCCAAACTTTTTTTAGTTTATTATATCTTCAAACACTTCTTTTTTATTATCAAACAAAAATATCAATCACACTTCTTTTACTTTATATTTAAACATCAATCACTGACACCCTCTTCCATTAAACCACCATTTATAATAAAATAATAGATTATCTAAAATACTAAAATTGCCCCTACATAAACTCCAAATAATCTTTCTACATAAAATTTTATTAAAATTCAAATTTATTAAAATTCATTTTTTTACATATTAAAATTCAACTAAAATTTTGTTGTCTAGATATTAAAATTTAATTCGAGCTGATTAAATTTTTTTTTTTACGTATTAAAATTTGAGTCTATTAAAATTTTTTTACGTACTAAAATTTGAGTCAATTTGAGCTCTACATGAGCTGTTAGCCCCGATTAAAATTTATATTTTTTTATTTATTAAAATTCGATTCAACTTGATTAAAATTTAGTTTTTACATATTAAAATTTGAGTCAATTAAAATTTCTATTTTTTATGTATAAAAAATCAAAACAATTAATATTTAATACGAATTGATTAAAATTTGATTTGAGTCTAGAATAAAATTTTAATTGATTCAAATTTTAATGCCTAAAAAAATATAATTTTTAATTGACTTAAATTTTAATTAGCTCAAATCAAATTTTAATCAACCTGAATTTTAATATGTACAAAAATTTTAAAAATAGAGAAAGTCCCATTGAAAATATGTCTATTTAAAGGAGGTGTAGATGAAGTTCTTCTTAAAATATATTATTGATAATTTAGTTAAATTATATTTTAATTAACACCTTTAATCTAATAGTGGGTGTCATTGAAGATTTAAAAAATAGATGGAACATCTTTTAAAATATGGTAATGGAAGTGCAAGAAATAACGACAGATTAAGACATTTACGAAATTAAATATATAAATTTGACTAAAAGATTTTTCTCCAATGAATAATTAAATCAATAAAATATTAGAAGCAGCCCCTCCATGTATCAACGATCCACAGATTGTAGCAAGCTGAAAATACACTCAATTCAATCAGGGGCCATCAGCCATGCATGTGGGTCCTGTTACTAGAAAAAAAATAATATAGCAAGTTTGTAGAATTTTCTTTGTTTTTTCGGCCGAGGGGATCATGAATTGGATTGAAAGTCTTTTGATTCGTATTATGTTAAAATTTATTAAACTTATATATTATATTTTGTGTTTCAATTCATTTATTTAATAATTATAACAAATTTATTCATTCATCATTCAAATTTGCTATTAATATTGAATCTAAATTAATAATTTAGTGCCGATTTCGTGTTATATTCAGAATTATCATAGCTAGTTAAGATATTGAATTACGATGCACTCCACTACTAAATTCATTCGGTTCCCCTAATTATTAGTCAAGATACACTAAGTGAATTATTCACTTAAATATAACGGATTTTCTTTTCCTTCTCTTTTTGGTCAGCTTCAATTATACAACATCTCAAAGTCTTGAATTTTTAGCCACGCAAGAGAATTTTGGTTTGTCTAATGCGCGTAATTTATGTGTGATTATTTTTATTCAAAGTTTGCTTTGTAATTATAAATTACAAAATAACAGGTATACCCGAGGGAGACAAAAATTTAAAAAGGGTAAATATCATAATCAGTTTTCAAAATTATCTCGTATTTTAAAATGATCCCTAAATTTTTAATTATTTAAATTTTGTCATTCAACTACCAATTTTCTATCAATATAGTCCGTCCGCCCATTTCACCTCTTAGAGCAAACGAATGCTAGTCTACCTCATGTGTGTCCTTTTGTTCCAACGAATGAAATGGACATAATGAATTTATTGAAATGAAGTTAATAGTTAAGAAATTAAATTGAGATAATTAAAAGTTCAAGAAATTATTTTAAAATAGTAGGCAAGGTTTAAAGTAAGCAATTCAATACAGATTTGAAAAATTAACTTGATCAATCACTATTATTGATTTAATTGTGGGTCTCAATATTTATTTATTATAATTCACGACTTATTCAATAATTATAATTCATTAAGTTAATAAATTGTGTCAACTTTTTAAGTACAAATAGTATATCTCTTAAAGAGATCAAGCAGCATCATGTTTATCTTTAAAAAAAAAAATCGGCAAGTGGGCTCATTATTACAGTACAAGTTTACTATGAAAAGAGGCCCATTCTCAATTTTATGGCTTATTATTACTGAACAAGTTTACTATGAAATGAGGCCCATTCTAAATATTATGAGTGGGTTTTGAACCCATCATGGCATTTCCCATTCTCTCCGTTCCAAGCCAGAGACGTCACACATTATTCACCACACATTCATGGTATGGAAGTCGACAACACACACAGTCTCTCTCTCTCTCACAAAAAGCACTTAACTTTGCCTTGCCAATGACCAATGACGGGTGTGGGGATCAAAATGGCGATGGCCTCAATAGCTATGATGTGGTACACGTGTCAGGCGGACAGCAACCTCCATCCTCTAATTCTGGTGCCTGGAAGTGGCGGGAACCAACTGGAAGCGAGGTTAACCAGAGACTACAAACCCTCAAGCTTCTTCTGCAACCGGTGGAACCCAATTAGTAAGGACAAGAATGGTTGGTTCAGGCTCTGGTTTGACCCAAGCGTCCTCTTAGCCCCATTCACCAAGTGCTTTTGTGAGCGCATGATGCTCTACTATGACCCCGACTTGGATGATTACCGAAATGCCCCTGGTGTTGAGACCAGAGTCCCTCACTTTGGTGGAACCCAAGCTCTGCTCTACCTTGATCCACATCTCAAGTAAGTTCCTATATCCTCTTGGTGCATTGTCATTAGACTCATCACATTTTATGGTTTGGGGTTTGCCACATGATTTGTATTCAGTAAGAGCCTATTTGTTATGGGTAAGTGAATTGTATAATTTTAGAGCAATCACTAGAGCATTGCTATGCTGACTGAATTTTGTATTCCAAATCAGGTAGGTGGTTAGATTAGTGGGTTCATTAACTCTAGAAAGAATCGGATGCATAGGATTTTAACACATTATTTAGGCCGTAAGATTTGCTCAACAAATGTTGGCACCACAGTTTTATCTTTTCAGTGGTGGGTCTAATCATTTATTTAAATTTAAAGTTAATTTAATAATTATAATGAAATTATATCATTAAATTAGATTAGTAAATTAAGTCAAATTTTTATATTATAATAGAATTTTTCATAATTTTATGGTATCAAAAAATTAATTATTTTTTCATAGGAGGGCAGCATACTACTAATTAACAGTGGGGAATCAATTTCCAGCTCATCACTTGTCTCTCAAACTCGAGCGCCTTTACTCTGACTAAAGTCTAATACTTTATCGTTTTGACTTCAAAAATAAAACTTTTTTGTTCTTATTTCTTTTACTATACGAAATTTTCTTATTTGCGGTTTGGTAGGAAAGATTGAAAAATTGAAGGAAATAAAACTTTTTTGTGAGTGATACAGTTTCAATCCTCAAAGGAAACAAATTATATTATTTTTCTTTATTTTTATTGATGAAAAAGTTGATGGATAAATTTTATATTGTTTGATATTAAAAGAAAAGTGGAGGGCAAAAAAAAAAATTATATACTGAAATTACTACTTTGGCCCCATTGAAAAAAGTTTTGTATCTATCACTTTCTTTTTTTTGGGAATTTGAGCATATGAAATACATTAATGTGTATGATTGTGCTATTATAATAATAATTATAGAGGGCATAAACGTAAAATCAATCTTGACGCATGTTTGGTCTTTCTTTCCATTGATTTTTCGCCCAAAACCAGAAAGAAAAATTTTGGTGGGTGGAAGTCATGGCCTTTCCCTCTCATTTTCCTCTTCCTCCCATTTTCCAGTTAAACCAAACAATGGAAAATCACCATTTCCAATTTTCCATTCAATTTGCATTGCCAATCTCCAGCCCTTACCCTTTTCTAAACCAAAATTTAAATTTGGATAAAAAAATTTCATAAAAACCTTCTCCAATGTTATATTCAAATTTTTACTCAAATCGAGAAATTCAAACATTTATTTAAATCACCAATAATTAGATTTCCTTTAAAGATCTAATATTTATATTTTATCATTTTTTAAATTTGGATTTGTCTTCATTTAAATTTGAATTTATTCTCTTTTATTTTGAGTGTTTTCTATTAAATTAAGCTTTTTTACTTCAATATTGACATAAATTTGGATAAAAATTTGAGTCAATGTTAGAGATGCTTTAAATGTACTTACTAAAACCCAATTGATCAATTGACTTTAGATTTATCTAACTTCCTAGGTTTTATGTTTTATTGATAGTGGTCCTTTATAGGCAAGTCTGGGAACCTAAAACCTCAATTGTTGGATCAATTGGTTGAGCCAGAACCATCTCATTAATTTGGGGAGTAGCATTTCTCCAATTCCACAACAATTGTCAATGTTAAATTGATACAGCTACTTTCCTTACTGAGTTTTAAAAGTACAACAATCCTATAACCGAGAGCTAGAAGATCATGGGCTTTTTCTTTACACCCTATTTGACTGAGGAAAGTGCATCTTTTCAGCCATTGTGGTACCATAATGACATTCTCAATCAAGAATGGGTTATGCATTTAATCATCGTCTTTCTATGAACAAGAGTACCTATTAATTATATGGCCACCCGGAAAAAAAGAACCCAAAAAAGGTGTCAAAATGGCTGAAGGTTCAGAAATAGCCAATGCGCTCATATCTCGTTTTGCATAGAACCCACTACCTATTTGATAACAATGCCCTCGATCAAGAGATTAATCCTAAATGAGTGATTCTCCCAGTTCTCAATGCTCCGTAGAAGTAGAACTGGAGTGTATCAGGAATAAATTCTTGGGTGATACATTTGTTTTAATGATTGTGTCATTTAAGTTAAATCAAGAAATAAATATTCCCGTTGGCAGTGAACTATATAATTTGTTTTCAATTGTCAAGTGGTAATTAATGGGATTGAAATTCTAATTCTCTTTTGCAGGCACATTACAGCTTATATGTCATCCCTTGTAGAATCTCTTGCAGAAATTGGGTATGTTGATGGCAAAACCCTCTTTGGAGCCCCCTACGATTTTCGTTATGGCTTAGCAGCAGCAGGTCACCCCTCTCAAGTTGGTTCGAAGTTCCTTCAAGATCTGAAAAGTCTAATAGAAGAAGCAAGCACTTCTAATGGTGACAAGCCAGTAATACTTCTCTCCCACAGCTTAGGAGGCCTATTTGTCCTTCAACTGCTTAACCGAAACCCGCTTCCCTGGCGCCAAAAGTATATCAAACACTTTATTGCATTGTCCGCGCCATGGGGTGGCACAGTCCAGGAAATGCTCACTTTTGCTTCGGGAAATTCCCTCGGAGTACCCTTAGTTGATCCATTGTTAGTAAGAGCAGAGCAAAGGAGTTCTGACAGTAACTTATGGCTCATGCCCTCTCCTAAACTATTTGGTCATAAACCACTTGCTGTCACACCAAATGTTACATATTCAGCATATGATATTCCCCAGTTTCTTGAAGATATTGGTTTCCACGAAGGAGTCCGGCCTTATAAATCTCGAATTTTGCCTTTGATGGAACATCTACTAGCTCCCGAAGTGCCCATTACATGTATAATTGGGAGTGGCGTTACGACGCCAGAGAGTTTGTTTTTTGGAGAATGCGGGTTTGATAAGCAGCCGGAGATAGTGTATGGGGATGGCGATGGTACGGTGAATATGGTGAGCTTGTTGGCTGTTGAATCAGAATGGGGTGAGAATAGAAATCAAACCCTTACGGTGATTAGAATACCTGGGGTTTCTCATACTTCCATACTGGAAGATGATACTGCACTACGTGAAATAGTTGGAGAACTTCAATGTATTAATTCTGACATTATGAGAACAGTTGGTTCAAGGACTTCATAAACGCTAGGGGCTGTCTAGTTGTAGCAATCTACAATCATCTTTTGTGATGACAATGATCCGGGTTTCTAATGCAACATGGTTTCTTTGAAGGTTGCTTTCCTTCCAGTTAAAAAAGAAGTAGCTTTTCTTAATTTGCACTACGGTGTTAGAGGTGAAGGTGGGTATAACGCAATAATAAGCTTGCTGGTGGGTTTAACACAATAGTGAGTTTGCTCGGTTGTGATTTGTGCATTAGAGGTTGAGTCACGATAATAACTTGTTTGCATATGAGAGTAAGATTGTATAAATGTAATCCCTAGGGAACGAACGACTGTGTTGTTCACTAGACCACCTCCTACCACAGTGTCAGAGGCTATCCTTAGTCCTCCACACAAATAATGAGTAGAAAGGCTACATTTTCTGTTTTACCTATGTTAAGCATACCGAGAGAGAGGAATCAAAGGTCTTTTAGAAGCGTTGAGCTTCCGATCCCCAAGCTCAAGAATAAACCATGAGCACACTATTGTTCGTTCAAGGGGTTTAATATAATATTATACGTTCTTATGGTGTAGAAATTCTTATTTATTTCATGGGAGGTTTATATTTGGTCATATTGACCCCCAAGGCTTTTAGTTATGTACTCTGGTCAGGGCTTTACTTTCAAGCTAAACCTTCTAAATTACGTAACTTATCAAAGGCTACATGGATAATTTCTTGTAATGATATGAGATAGCACCTCCTAGTTGAACCTAGATGACATTCTTAAAACAGTAATGTTATGGTGATCAAATTTAGAGTTAAAATGACATAATAATATATTATTTGAAGTCTTTTTTATTGGGACTCAAATGACATGACATCAAATAAGAAAGTTAAGTCAGCTGTCATGTTATTTGAACTCTAAATTAATCATAAAATTTGGTTCTTAAAATAAGGAGCAATAAATATACAGTGCAAAATTGGTTCAATATAAATATTTGTGTTCCATTTTATTTTATTGGGCTATTTATAACATCAACAACCAATTGAGTGCTCAAAGCCTACTAATCTACAGCTGAAATTCCTTCAAGAAACTAGCAAATCTATGAGTCTTTTGTCAGTCATTGAGTCCCCTAATAAATATGTTTTGTTATGTCTCATTAATTAATGCTTAATGACGAAATATAATCATCATAACTTTAATGTTCGGATGGTCAAGCATTTAAGATTTTTTGTCCTTTAACCATCAAGTCATTTCAAATATCAAGGGTTCTACTCTAAATACTCAGGGCATTTATGGCTTCATGTTTTGCATTCAATTTGATGCCCCTTAGCGTTGTTCTCCGTTAGCAAGGATTATATCTCTCTATTTTTTTATATAAGTTCTGAGTAAATGTGACAGAAAAATGTTCATTTGTCATATCAACACTCTACACAAAACACAATTTTTAAAGACAATTATCATTGGCATCAATCACGCACTTCTTCGTTCCCTCGTGGTGCTCTTTTACTCGGTCTTAGGGGTACTCATCATTCAATTTTGACCTATAAAAATTTAGAAATACTTCTATTAACTGTATTATATCATATGTCGATTTGTGATTGACGAAATGCCAATATCTCATCAATATAATATTCGTCAATTCGATCCCATGAGTCACTCTGATCCTCTTCCCATAGGAGCAGGATAGACACATCGACAATGTACAAAAATCTTGTCAAATTTATTAGGCAAGAGCAATTCAATTTTGTATCAAGCATTTTGAAGATGGTGCCAGAGCAGCGAAGCAATCTTTTAGAGCATGAGGAAAAATGTGCTAATTACACATTGTCCCATCTAAGTTTTGGGTTACGTTACAATCAACTCCTCTTAGTTCTAATTTCAACAAATTACCCATTCAAAGTTTAAACATTTTTAAACCAACTGGTTTCGTACAAACCTATTACATCTCCAAGTTTAAACTTGGAGCTGTTGTCGAGTAGACGAAATAAAACTGTCATAAAGTGGATGAGTATATATATTTATATAATAAAGTAGAATGAATTTTAATTTTGGAGACAAAGAGTAATTTAGATCGTTTTGTGACAAAAAAAAAACATCATCTAACGGACGACGCTATCCCAAACTATCTCGAGCTATTGACGTCTGAGATCGTTTTAATCTGACGTATCACATTAACTCTTTTAAAATATTTTTGTTGCTCAAAATTTATAGTTTCCAAAATCGATATTCCAAAATTTAATTCTCTCAAATCTTTTCCTTAAATCAAGCAAATATATTTCTCTCATTCTACAATATGTTCCTCTGAATTTTTCTCCGTATCTCACGAAAATATTAGATAGTGTCTAATTCAAACAAATATTACATCTCTCTGTAAATAAATAGTATATATCACAGAGAGAGAGATAGTAAATTACGAAAATATTCTTTTGTATCTCTCTCAAAAGAAAAATTATTTAATAAAAATTAGATAGATAATATATATCACGAAAATATTCTTTTGTATCTCTTTCTTTCATTCAAGTAATATTACAAACACGAATCATACAAATTCAATAGTCAATTTTATTTTTTTCAATAATCATTAAAAAAAACATAACTTGCAAAAAATTTTATTTAACAAAGAAAATATGCTTAACATGTAAAATACATAAGATTAAATTCAAGTTATTGGACAACTCAGATATCAAAAAATATATTAAAGAAAATATGTTTAATATTTAAAATATAAAAGATTAAATTCATGTACAAACATGAATCATACAAATTTAATATTTAGTGAGCAACATAAAGCAACAATATTTACTAAATATTCCAAATTTAAATACCGTATAAAAATGATACAAAATTATAAGCAAGAGAAACAATACAAAATTATAAGTAATACTTTGAACACGAATCATACAAATTCAATATTTAGTGAACAATATGAAATAATAATCTTTACTAAATAATCAAATATTAAATAACATTTAGTTTAAGAAAATATACTAAAAATATAAATAATCGAGAATAATAATATAAAATTAAAAATACTACTATAAATTCGAATCATACAAATTTAATAGTCCGATTGTATTTTTTGAAAGTCGGTTAAATTTATGATAGTTATATTTGATCATTTGACAACATCTACATCCTTAGTTTATTTGTAGGAGTATTATTTTAATTTTCATTCTATTAATTATGAATTCTGTTATAACTTAGATAAAGTTGATTATAAATGTTAAAATCATGTATTTTGAATCAAAAATAGACCATTAAATATTTTCAATTGATATAATTTTTTAAATATTTGAATTATTATGTTTCAATAGTTGTAACATAATTTTCGTGGCGTAACAATTTAATATGAAACTATATGTTACGCATGTAAGTTGACGTTATAAAAAATATTAACGGACTCATTTTATTCGTCATTTATTATAATATTGTATTTTATTTTATATTTATTTATGAACAAATATTTGTAACTATTTTATTGTCGTATAGACGAAATAAAACAACCATAAAAGTGGATGAGTATATATACATATATATAAAGGTCGTTGGATTGGCCTGTGTAGTTGGAACAGCCTATCATCAATAATTCGTGGTGTTTTTGGTAAGGTAAAATTGAGGGGTATCTTCTGCAGCCCAATGCTCCTCAACTGCTAAGTTTTAGATTGGTGGCCCTTATTTATTTTTAGGGAAAATTTCAATTACACCCCTCTAATTTATCATATCTTTAAGGACACCCTCTCTAGTTTCTAAATCTTCAATAACACCCCTGTTGGATTAAAAATATTAAGTAGAATGCAATTTTACTAAATTGCTCATTATATATTTGAGAACAAACTTCATCCACACCTCTTCTAGATAAACATATTTTCAATGAGACATCTTCTAGATAAATATATTTTCAATGAAACCCTCTCTGTTTTCTAATTTTTTTTACGTAATTAAATTCGAACCGATTAAAATTCGATTCAAGCTAATTAAAATTTAGGAAAAATTTCAACGACATTCCCTCTAGTTTACCATCTCTTCAAGGACACCCCCTCTAATTTTTTGAATCTTCAATGACACCTCTTCTAGTTTAATTTAAACATCACTAACATCCACTACCATTAAACTATTATTTCTAACAAAAACAAATTATCAAAAATACCAAAAATGCCCCTGCATCACCTAAAGTAATTTTTTTACATAAAATTTTATTAAAATTTGAGCTGTTAAAATTTAAAACAAAATCATAAATAACAATTTTAGTAAATAATTTGTTAGTAAATGCTAATTTATTATTTACTATTTCGTAAATTTTAAAAAAAAATCGAGTCTATTAAAAAAAATTTTTACATATTAAAATTTGAGTCGATTTGAACTCTATCCAAATTGTTAGCGCCGATTAAAATTATCTTTCGAGTCGGTTAAATTTTATATTTTTTTATTTATTAAAATTCGTGTCACTTAAAATTATATTTATTAAAATTTAAGTCAATTAAAATTCATATATTTTTATATATTAAAGTTTGGGCTAATTAAAATTCAAAGCGAATTAATTAAAATTTGATTTGAGTCGATTCAAAATAATTTTTAATTGGCTCAAACAAAATTTTAATTAGCTCAAATTCTATTACATAAAAAAATATAATTTTTAATTGACACAAATTTTAATATGTAAAAAAATAAATTTTAATTAGCTTGAATCAAATTTTAATAGATTCGAATTTAATTAAGTAAAAAAATTTAAAAACAGAAGGGGTCTCATTGAAAATATACTTATCTAGATGGGGTCTTATTGAAAATATACTTATCTAGAGGGGGTATGGATGAAGTTTGTCCTCAAATATATTATGGGCAATTTAGTAAAATTACATTCTACTTAATATTTTTAATCGGTGTCATTGAATATTCAGAAACTAGAGGGGGTGTGGTTGAAATTTTTTCTTATTTTTATTTTTTCAAATGTTAGATGTGTCCGAATCAGTTTACGCGCATTTTAGAGAATTTATAAAAAATATCCCTCCTAACCTGACCTTAAAGAATTGTTAAAATTTGAACGCATAAGGACTAAATTTATAATTCGTTTATGTTATTACTTGATCTATCTTTAGAGTATATGACCCTTATATTCAAACTAAGAGTAATCCGTATTTGAAGACACGATACAATATAAATAATTTTGAGAAAGATGTTGATTATCGTTAGATGAGTCTACTTGAAACAGTCATATAAATTTATTGAAACCTATTCTATTTTATATTTTAGGTCATTCTGATGATACTTTTGACTTTTTGCACAAAAATTATGAACTTTAACATTCAAAACCAAGTAGTGAATAAGTATTTAAAAAAAATTACAAATAAGAAATATTATTAATTGACCAAATTTTGAAATCTACTGAAATTCCTTGGGGGTGTTTTAGACTTCATTTTTCATATAGCCTCCATGCAATTTTCCTGCTTTTTCGATAAAAAGTATTTGTGTGAATATTATTCATTCATGTTCATGTTTGGTCTAACAAATTTTATGTGGATGGTCAACTATCTAACACAATCGTACTCTTTTATCCAAGCTTGGAATATGTTTATGCTCATTCGATAAGAAGTAGTGTATAAAATACCATAATATGCCCACACTTGGAATTCAAATCCACTACAATACAAAATTTTATCAGTTCTTTGAATTCAAATTTCTTGTTATCAAATGTATTGAGATTTTTTGTACTTAGTGTTGTCTTTAACAATATATACGATTTCAATTCAATACGATGTGATATTCTAAAATTAAGAACACTATGAGAATCTAATACTGAAATTGAACACAAACCTCATGCTCCAATCACAACAAACCAGGCAGGGTCCACTTGCATTGGAAATTAACATAATAAGCAAAATTTGTTAGGGGTAAGAGACGAGCAAAATTCAGAGATCGTCTAAAATAGATTCAAGTGAGATCTTTTATTTAAAAGTTCACTCCTTGCTCATGCATAATAGATTGGTCTAATATTGAATAAAAATGTAATTAACTACAAGATATCAATCTAAAATGAGTAAGTCAATAAAATCTTATCAAAATAATAAAAAAAAATAAAATTTGAAGCCTTCATTCAAAGCAAAGCAGCGGCACGGTGAAACTCTGCAGCCAAGACCATTAGTCAAATCTCTACTCCCAACTTCCTCCTAAATTAATAAAAATAATTCAGACACATAAAAACAAGCGGCTAAGTTTTAACAATAATGTTGTTGAGATTTAACTTATTGATGTAATTTGTTGACTTAATTTATTGTGATCTTTGGATTGACTGCAGGCCCCATCAAACATTAAAACTTGGTATTGATTCAATGATTCATATGTAACCACATCATTATGTCAGTAAATTATGTCAGATTTTTAGGTCCAAATAACATTATTCAAGTTTTAATTACGGGTAATCTCACTTTGTATGTTGAAAGATATTTTGATTCTGCATTTGTACTATCAAATAAAAAAAATCTTAATTTACACATTTAATGTTATGAATTGATAGTAATATAGACCTTACTCAGATTATCGTTCAATTCTTTCGTTGTAAATTGAAGCAAACGAATTGCAAGTATTGACATCTCATGTGAATTATACATGATAAGGTTAGACTTTATGAGCTTTAATTTATGACGGAAAACTGAACGGTATTTAATTTCATGAGCTTCAGATTTACATTATTATAAATTCATAATATTGAGGGTAAAAATTAAGATTTTTAATGTTAAAGAGTGTAAATTAAGAATCAAAATATTTTTTGAGGTGCAAAGTGAAATTAGCCCTTTTAATTAAACAAAGAGATGAGAGTTGAGCGCGCACTGTCATAGCAAAAGAGGCAGAGGACCGCACGCTTACCACCGCCACGTGTCAGTTTTCCGGTCTTTTAAAAGCAAAGCAATTGCATTGAGAGGGTCGCAGTCGCACCAAAAAAGTAGTCAAACACCCCGATACTAGCAAAGAAAAGGCCAAACCGTGCAGGCATTACCACATGTACGGTCAAACACTCAGGACCAGTCAAATTGACGAGCTGGCGGCTTGTGAAAGGCTCCTCCAAGTGGGCCATAACCCACGGCGTCCTGCTTCCCCCCTCTTAATTATATTGCGGAATTAAAAAGAGTAACGTTATCACGATCAAATTTTGAAATTAAATTTAAAATTTAAATAATATGATAATTAATTATTTAAAATTTTTATTGAAGTTTAAATAACATCACACCAATCATTTGGACTCTAAATTTAGTTTTAAAATTTAATCAATCTAGTATTACTGATAAAAAAATATTACTCAAAACTCAGCTTTATCTCGAAATTTAATTCAATATAAATTATGTATTGAATTAGATTATTAAATTATATATCAATAATATTATTATGTCTACCAATATTTTACTTAAGAAAATGATATATTTTACAATATTACTGTTGGGACCTAATACTAATTAGATAATCTAATTTATCAGAACTAGACCGATCATCGAACCAACAAGAAAATTTGGTAAATGGTTCATTGATTCAACTGTTAGGTTAATTGATCGGACCAATCATATATAAAAAATTATAAAAACATAATAACTTAACTAAACATATATTATACGCACATTTACCAAATTCCAATCTCTATATACTAGATCTATATCGCCAAACGTTGAACAGAGACACCCACTCATTCTAAGGAAACATGCATCAAATTCAAAGGACTTAGATTGCAATCGCTAAAAGAGGTTAAATCAAATTCTCAAGAATTGTGCTCTTGTTGGTACGATTGAAAAATAGAATGATAAAAAATTTAAGAAATAAATAAACATTATGCTTGGTAGGAAAGAATGAAAAAATGGATAGATAAGCTTTTTTTTTCAACTCACCAAAATTAATTTTTCTAAAATTGAAAAAAAAATAGATAAAAAGTTAATTATTTGTGTTAAAATATATCTTATTTGCTTATATATCTTTTGATATATATACATATATTATGTATACATTAGTTTCATATATAAATACATACAATGATAAAATACTTATTTTAATTAAATTTATCTGAATTCAATTATTTATTTTAATTAATTTATCAGAATTCAATCCAAATCAAATTTTAATTATTTATTTATATAACAATTTTGTAATAGTGAACTTGAGTTTGAACAAAAAATATCTCAACCCAAAATATAAATTCGAACAGTAGTTTGTTTGGAATCTTATACACAGGGATTCCTATCTTACATGGAGGACACTTATTTGACCAAGTGATGTTCAATTTTTTTTATTTAGTGAATTATTATTAAATAATTACACCAAATAATAATATTAATATGGTGTAAATATTACACTTATTATTTGTACGTTAATTTTTTTTTTTTAACAATAAAAAATATTCAAATTAATTTACACATACATTAATTAATTTCCTCTCCTACCAGTTCCAAAGTCTTTTTTTTTCACTCGTTGTTTTGAACCTGAAACGGAGCCGATTTGTCAAAGGAAAAATTGGAAGAAACGGTGAGAAAACAAACACGAAAGAGATTTCCGCATGAACAATTGTGCCGCATAGACTACGTCTGTTGATCGTCCGATCAACAACTGACATCGACTTCTTTGACTATTTGACTATCCGTGAATTCCAAGGCCACTAAAAATAAAAATAAGAATAAAAACTTTATCACACAAAATAAAAAAATTTAAAAAATCCAATTACCCAAAAAAATATATATTAAATTGAGAGAACCGGTTATCTTTATGACTTTTAATATCTCTCACGTGTGGTGCACAAACTTCAAGGCTCATATTACCGGCTATAACCCGTACCCTCCCCAGTAAACTGTTCTTTCTTTCTTTAATTTTTTCTTCTAAAAAGGCCAAAAAGAATACATAAATAAATAAAGTTAGCAAAGTTTTCAATTTTCAATACCTGACCAAGACCAGAGCAGCAGAGGGGGGCGGGTCACACACACACGAGAGGTGTAGCTTTTCTCTCTCCTCTTCCCACTCTCTCATCCTGTTATGGTCTCGAGTCTTCCCATCGTTTCATGTCTATATTCATCTAGAAATTTCTTGTTTTTGTCACAATTCTTGAATTTTGGGTTTTAGAATTTAGTGGTCACTGTTCATTGATGAGTGTTGGATAATCATTTCTTTCTTTTATTCTCTCTCACTTTCGATTGCTTCTTTTTGATTTTTTTTCCCTGATCTGGGGTTGAACAAAATCATTCTTTTTGAGCTTCAAGAGGAAGTTGAGAGCTTTGGTATTAGAGAAGTGGATTACAAATTCTTTTTTGTCATGATGATGATAGTGAAAATTGGCAATATGGCTCTTTTGACCAGAGAAAAAGAGTTCAGATAAAGCTCAAGACATGAAGAAAAGATGTTCCCGTTGATGTTCGTTCTTGCTTGTAATTGTCAAAGAGAGAGAGAGACAGAGAGAAAAGAGTGTAAGACTCTTCCTTTCTCTCTCTTTTCTCTTTTTTCGTCCACACGATTCTTCGATTGTACTGCTTAAAGGGTCTCTATATTTGAAGCGTTTTGTTGGGTTTTCGACCAGAGGCTGTGTGAAAATGCCGATGTATCAGCCTTTGAGTAAGAGGAGAGATGGGTACGAAGTGGGTGGTGGTGGGCAGGTGTTGGATCTGGAAACCGCAGTGAAAGATGGGATTTTGGGTGGTGGAGGTGGGGTGGTTCACGGCAGCGCCACCGGGGAGAAATTTGATCTGAAAAAGATGATTGAAGAGCTCGATATGGTCGACGTTCCGTCGGTGTTTATTTGTCCAATCTCATTAGAGCCAATGCAAGACCCTGTGACCCTTTGCACTGGGCAGACCTATGAGAGGTCCAACATTCTCAAATGGTTCTCCTTGGGCCACTTCACTTGCCCCACTACAATGCAAGAGCTTTGGGATGATTCTGTCACTCCAAACACCACCCTTTACCAGCTAATTTACAGTTGGTTTTCACAAAAAGTACTTGGCAATGAAGAAGCGTTCAGAGGATGTGCAAGGAAGGGCTTTGGAACTGTTGGAGAAATTGAAGAAGGTCAAGGGTCAATTGAGAGTTCAAGCATTGAAAGAGTTGAGACAAGTTGTTACAGCCCATGATTCGGTGAAAAAAGCAGTGGTGGACAACGGTGGCTTGGGTTTGATTTCGTCTTTACTTGGTCCTTTCACTACACATGCACTTGGTTCAGAGGCAATTGGGATTTTG